AATATTGTTTCTTACTTTTGTCAGACCTGCCATGCAGAAATCCATAGTAGAGCCGAAAAGAAATCTCAAATCAAAGGGCCCATCCCTCAGAGAATAGTTCTTACTGCCCTCAAGAAATCACGTATATGAGAATGAGGTCAGGTAGGGTCTTCAGATGTTACATGGCTACAGAAGCAAACCATTGTCTATCATTTCCATGACAATATCTTCACCCTACACACACAACCCTTAACACTCCATTGTGGTTTTACCTCAAAGAAGCTACTGCAATACTTAAAATGCTTACTTATTCCATGTTTAAAAAAAACAAGCACTCTCCCTGGATGGCAAGTACCCAATAGGGGTTGCCTTGAGATGATCCTATACTTAAAGTAGGCCAAAGAGATGACAAAGTTTGAGGTGCAAGACAAGATTCAAGGCACTGTTTTAAATTCTTTTTGAGTTACGAGGGCACTTCGAAATTAAAAAAAAAAAAAAAAAATCTGGGTAGCATCCCAAAAGGCATTATTAAAATGCAAGCATTGGTTTTTACAAAGACCAATATGGAAATGTGAAAAGTCTCTAATTATCACACTTTCCATTTGGTCACCCTTTGGACTGTATGGCCATTACAAGAAGTTTACTGCTCTGTCTAGTCTCTCCACAAAGCCAAGTTTCCCCTTTGTTCCAGTAAACATTCTATCTATCACTAAATCAATGGCATTAAATTATATCTCCTAGCTTCAGCAAGTCTGACACCCCTAAGCAACACATCACATGGCCACCACCCAGCTCAACACTCCATTTCACAGACATCACTAAGAAGTCACAGTTTAATTCACAATATGAATCCTAAACTACATTTCATATCCTGATCAAAATGTAGCAGACTCCCATGAAAAAGTGTGGCATACAAGTTAAGAGATACTCTCTAATGAATGAATCCCACATCTCCTAAAGGTGTGATGGTTTTGTGTAGTGGATCAGGCACTGGGCACAGAAAGTTAGAAACTTCTGCTCAACTACAGCTCTGTTACTTACTGTGAAATGATATTAATAATAATATCTACCTTCTAGGTGTATTATGAGGATAAAGAAGCATATGTAAGCATTTTATAAACAGTGCTATAGAAACTGAATTTGTTCATTGTTGTTGTTATTCTTCCTGTGGATTTATTCAAAATTTAAAATGTTATTTCAAGGAACTGATGATGTAACATAAAGAATGTCATTTTGTTCACATGCTTAACAAAAACTTTGGAGTCAACCTCAAGTCACTAAATAGCTTGATCTTCTTCCATTGGCTAAAAAAGCAATCACAGAACATTACCCTAACAAGGGCATGGTGAGCAAAGGTAGTAAGAACTATGCATACACCATAGCAAATAGGGCAGGGATACTTTATTTCACTACTTAGACTGAAAAAATCTAAGGTCAAAAGTTTTCTAGTGGGGCCCAAAAGGAAATGTTTCTAAGATCCTGTTTTGAATTCAAATTAAACATAACCGGTAGCCATTATTGAGTCATCAGAAAGCTCAATAATCTTCAGTGTTTTTCAGCCATTAATTAATCTGCATGGCGTCCAAGGATAAAAGAAATTTAATTCTCTCATTCTAGTTACTTATAACCACAGGAAGAATCTAAATAGGTCAAGATGCACCATTTTAGTAAAGTAGCTCAACAAACATTTCATCAAATATTAAGGATGTACCATATTGTCAGCACTGTATGAGGCGCAACGTCATGCTGATATGGCCTATTTTACAGCCAGCAAGAAAGAACTTTAGTAACTTGAACCCTGTAGTATTACAACAATGAGTAAAGAAACATTTCTGAGGGGACCTCCCTGATGGCGCAAGGGATTAAGCACAGCACTGTGAAGCTATACTCAGCCTCTACAGCATAAGTTCGATCCCCGGCCAGCCAGAGAGCTACCCACATGGCACATCAGACCTCTCCTGCCTTATCTGCTGTTCTCCTCAGAAGTGTATTTCAGTCAGTCTGCCTATTCTGTTCCCCACTCTGTGTCTGGTGAATCCTCTCACCCCCCACACCTCTGGCCTGTACCCCAGTTCTTATATGCATAATAAATAAATCTTAAAACAAAAAAAAGAAACATTTCCAAGATATGGACAATGGCTAATGAAGAACTACACCCAACCATCATTGCCAGAACTCACTAACTCACTTGAAAACTGATGTAAAATTAAGATGATTTATTGAGAACACTTTCCTGACAAGGATTATGTGTGGCATATGGGAAGGAGGTGGTGCTAGGAAGCCAGGGTATGTTATTTTAAATAGGATGGTAAGTGAAGGCCTTGAATAAGGTGACATCTAAGTAGAGACCTGAATGTAGAGAGCAAGTGAGCCACTTGGTTACAGGGCAAGGGATTCTACCAGAGAAAACAAGAGCAAGTGTCTGAAGTGGGATCATATCTATTATGTTCTCCATACATCACTTTCCCCTTGGATGAAGCACTGCCACTCCTTCTGTGCCCCCACCAGATCTTTCTGACTTCCAGGCATATTCTCCCAGGCACACAAACCTGCATCCTGAATCACAATGCACACTCTCTTCTTTTCACAAATCAGAGACCAACTCATATGGTACCATACTACCTTCGAAATGTTACATCTTTCTCTTCCCCTCTAGTCCCACTAACACCACGCCAATTCAAAATTATAAAAACTACAGAGCATTAAGACTAGAATGGACCTTAGATACAATCAGTGTTAGTCCCATCTTACTTACAGCTATACTACTCAAGTCTCCAAAGTATCAGACCAAATATCTATTATTACACCATACCTGAACATTTCCTTGATGTCTTCTTTCTTATCAAAGGACTTCAAGTCCTTTTTCAGAAAGCTTTACATAACTATACCAGACTTCTTTAATTTCGACCTTCTCAGAAATTCTATGATTTATCATAAAATCTATCACTTATAGTCTCTCTCCTCTTGACCCTGACCACCTGGCAAAGCATCATCGATGTCTCAATTCAAATACTTAACTCTGCTTTGTTTCATGTGTAGAAGGAAAAAAACTCCTTGAAGCTAGAGATATGGTTTTGTTTCTCCAAAAGAACCTTGCAAAAAAAATAGCAACTACCACATTTTTAGCACTTACTATGCGCCATACATTAACACACTTTATCATCACCTAATTATCACAGTGTTGTTACTGATACTGTTCTTCCTATTTTACAAAAGAACAGAGAGTCAAAGACGTTAGGTTAAAGTCACATTAGAAAAGACATGACTTAGATTTCATCTACAGTCTGTCTCCTGAAGTGGCACAAAGTAGGTGGCAAAAAGTAGTTGTTTAGCAGCAGTCCCTCTGCTCACCTGTGCCTATGCAGGAGGTTTTTTTTTTCACCAATTCTCTCCCTCTGCAGGGCAGCAGCCTTCCTGCCTGCCCATCACCTGCACCATGCAGGAGCTTCTCTGCACTGACCTCCCTCAGCAGAGGCAGCTCTCAAGGCCACCCGCCTGTGGCCATGCAGGCCTCTCTCAGCAAACCTGTCCTTATCGGGACAGCTCTTCCTGCCCGCTTGTGTCTATGCAAGTGTCCCTTATTCTTCTGTCCCCTTTCCTAATAAACCTGCTCTTTTAATATTAAAAAGGTAGTTGTTTAATTATCCTAATAATTTCATGTATGTTGACAGTCCTGTCACCCCAATTAACTGATGAGGGTAGAAGTTATGACCAAAGGTTTAATAGGTGCAGTGGGAAGGACTGTCCTTCCTTGTTGAGTCTATGTGAAAACTCAAAACTGGGCCTCCCTGGTGGCCTAGAGGTTAAGTCTCAGTGCTATCATCATGCTGCAATGGCCGGAGATCATGCCCTGAGTTTGATCCCCGGACAGTGAGGTGACCCACATTCACCAGAGACAGAGTGGGGCACAGAACAGGTGGATCGACTGAAATACACTGCTGAGGGGAACAGCAGACCTCTCCTGTTTTGCCTGCTGCTCCCCTCAGCAGTGTATTTCAGTCGATCCACCTGTTCTGCGCCCCACTCTGTCTCTGGTGAATCCTCTCACCCCCTCTACACCTCTGGCCTATATCTAAGTTCTTCTGTGCAAATATAAATAAATAAAAATCTTATAAAAAAAAACACAACTCAAAACTGTAAATTCTCAACAAATAGCCCTTGTAATTCCTCCATCAAAGGCTTACCCAAAATGTCACTCTCTCAATCTGAGTACAAGTGCTCCCAGGTATGAAGTGTACTACACTCATGGGCAACCCTTCCTCCACTCAAGAAAGAGGACAATGCCTCTTCAGCTCTCAGCAGATAAAAAATTAAATCTCTTCAACCAAGTAGGTTAAAAATTAAATCTCCATTTCAATAAGCATTTGTTCTTCAGAACAGATCACACTGCTCTTCATTCTAATACTCATGATCTTACTTATTAAGGACCCCCTGTGGGGTAGATGCCATTTTCTTCACTTTACAGATAAATAAAACAACAACAAAAGCCGACATTGTTAAGGCCACGTAGCTGGTGACAAATCTGGGGCTGGAATACAGGTCTCCTGACGATTCACTCTGTTCCATTCTCACATTGTTTCATTTCCTCTGCAGATAATCATAAATGATAACATATTTATTCTGGTTTCGCTGGGTGACCTTAAAATAGTGAAAGTTCTGGAACGATTTTCATTCCGGATACCTGTGGTCAACCTTGTAGGGTTAAATACTATCTCCTCCATTTATTCTCTGTGACATGCAGAACGGTTTCCCCTCCCTGGGTCAATTCCCCGACCTGTAATGAAGATAATAACTACCGAACGGTAATGTCGTAAGAAGTAAACAAGATGAAAGTGAAACAGCTGGCACTGTGTCTGGCATAAGGTGGGTGTCTAGTAATTATGGGTTCTCTTCTCTCATCCCTCCGCGCTACAAGCCTCGGGGTTCACCCGCCACGGTCCTGCGACAGGGTATCCACCCGCCCGGAGGAAGGCGCAGGGCCTCGGGGGTTCACAGGCTGGGGGCGCATCGCACTGCCGTACCTGCATGGAGTCAGCACTGACGATCTCGCCACCGAGCCGCTGGCCGAGCTGCAACGCCAGGGTGGACTTGCCGGTGCCCGTGGCCCCGAGAATCACTACAAGTGGCAGCGCCGGTCGCAGGCCCGAGAGCCCAGGTCCCAAAGAAACTGCTCGTGCTGCTGCCGCCGCCGCCATCTTGAAAACATTTGCGCTTGCGCGGGGCAGCTGTCCCCATGGCAACCGTCAGTGCGCATGCGTAAACCTCCGGCTTTGCGGGGAGGAAGCAGAGGTGCTGGCAGCCGCAGCAAGAGCGCGGAGCTTCAGACGCTCGGGACGTGCCTGTCATCCGCTTACTGGTGTCAGACCGTCCGCCTGCCTTCTCTTTTAAGGAGAGCACGGCAGTCTTATCTATTGCTAGTATTCTTTCTTTAGGGGCACACTTCTTTTGTTTCATAGCACTCATTTCGATACAAAATGCGTATTGTCCTGTAGTCTATTGTCTGATTTTCACTGAAAGCTGTTGGCTCCATAAAGGAAAGAGACAGAGTCTGCCTAGGTTGTTGCTCTGTATTCAGCTCCTAGCACAGTGCCTGGTACGGAATAGACACTTGTTAAATGAAGAGGAGAATTGCTTGTCTGTCTTACGTTGGAGCCAGCGAATTCAGACGTGTAGCATTCCCCAGGAGCAAATCTGCCCAGTTCTCAGGCAAGGCTGCTCTAGTGTTTTCCTCTGGCAACACCAATTCAGACACAATCAGAAGGCACAATGAATCCCTATGGTAAGAGAATGCAAGAGGTGAGCCTCCTTGGTGGCGCAGAGGGTTAAGTCTCAGCCCTATGAAGATATCCGCAGTTCATCCCCAGCCAGGAGCTACCCACATGGCTCAGCAGACCTCTCCTGTCTCGCCCGCTGCTCCCCTCAGCAGTGTATTTCAGTCAATTGGCCTGTTCTGCTCCCCACTTTGTCTCTGGTGAATCCTCTCTTTGCTGCACCTCTGGCCTGCAACCCAGTTCTTCCGTGCATAAATAAAAATAAGTCTTTAAAAAAGAGAAAGAGAGAATGCAAGACATGTGACCACTGAGAAAAAACAAGCAAATAAACCCATAAAATATGAAGAGGGAAAATACCGAAAGCAGAAAGGATAAAGTAGTAGCAACCCTTAGACTAATGTGGGAGGGAGGAAAATTAGGACCAGAAGGAGCCAACATTCACCACATCCATCAACCCTTAAAAATGGGTTTTGGAACCATGTACCAGGGTTCAAATCCCAACTCTGCCACTTATCAGCCATATGACATTCAAAAATTAGCTTTACTTCTTAGGATTCCTTTTCTTATCTTTAAATATCTCTCGGGATTGCCATAAGGAGAAAATGAAGTAATGTCTGAAAAGTGCCTGCTACAATGCCCTGGCACATAACAAGCACCATTTGTTGAACACTTCATATTATTATAATAATAACACCCCATCTGCCTCACTAAAGAGGTAAGAGCAGCAGCCTAAGGGCAGAGACATTTTCACTAATGTGTAAAAGTGCCTAAATACCTATTGTACTAACCCCTTTTAGCCAACTTAACAGTTCTAATTGCTTTCTCCCTGAGATTACATGACTCTGTCCAGCTCCCAGGACATATCAAGAGGATCCCTTGGGACAGAGGAGTCACTCCTGGAAGTTTAGGGTATATGATAGGGCTGCCTGGAATGGCTGCCAAAACATTTCTCAATCACTTGGATCACATCAGCATAATGACAACTCTTTCAGATGCAGCCTAAATCTTACAGTCACATGTATTGTTTGGAGGATACCAGATCCCAGTTCTGGTCCCTGTACCTCCTTTTCTCAATCCAGCCTGCTTTGATCAAAAGACTTGTTTGCTCCAATTTGTGGTAACCGCCTGGGGCTGGGTTTTAAATCGAGATGTGTATCCACATATTGGCAGACACTCTCACATGATGGTTGTTAACTGTAGAGTCTTTGCCTAGAGACTTTCAGAGGGTACAGTTACCATGGCAACCACCAGAAAGATGGCAGGCCAGAGAAATGATGCAAATAAAGCAAAAGGGAGGCTAATTTCATGATGCCAATCTAACCATGACAAAGTATGTTCACTCACAGATGGAAAAGCACTGTCCAACTCATGACCAGGTGACTGTTACTACAGAGAGGAAAAAAAGAGGGGGGGGAGTTGGAATTTACCACTGAGAGACCAGAAGAAGGAGAGGCTGTTACTAAGGCAACTAGGGAGAAAGGAATGAAAAAATGGGGCTTCACCACAGTAGCAGAAAATTGCTTCTAGCCAAGCAACACAGGACTGTTGCTATAGAAACAAAGAGAACAGGGATCCTGTAGACCATGGGGAGAATTATCACTGAAATGCCGAGCAGGAAAGACTTCTAAATCAGAAAGGAGCCTGTGGTCCAAAACAAACGAGAAGTGAGAACAACATGATCCCTCTTCCATTCTTTGTAATTCTGCCAGTCCTACCAAAAGAAGAATATTTTTACACCTTTAAGTTATTTTACTTGCATTTCTGTTTGTCTCCCTGATGATCTTCTGAACTCTAAATTATACCAAGAACAGTTCCTGAGAGATAATCTGTAATTTGAAATCCTAATTGAAGAGATGAAGTTCAAGGGGAAATTGGGAAGTTGAAGTCTATGGCCAAGAGTTAATAAGTATTTCTTAAAAAAAAAAAAAACACAAAATCCTCTGTTTGGAAGCTTTATAGGATAATAAAGAGGCAAAAGGCAACAAAAGGGAGCAGAAAAGCTATTTGTAGTCATGCACAGGTATTAGCCCTGAGCTATTATCCCCCGTCTACGAAGCCAGATGGGAAGAAGCGCAATCAATTCTGAAAGACAGCTGAAGAGGAAAGGGAGTCTCACTTGAAATGCATGTGTATGTCTAGAAGTGGAGGATGCTGAAACCCATCTCAGCTGTTTATACCAATACTCTCAGCTATGTAAACCCATACTCTACTATTTATAGATTATTTTGGGTAAAAAATTCCTTTTTTTAAAGATTTATCTATTTATGTATACAAGAGCTGGGGTACAGGCCAGAGGTGTGGGGGGTGGGTGAGAGGATTCACCAAAGACAGAGTGGGGAACAGAACAGGCAGAGGGACTGAAATACACTGCTGAAAGGAGCAGGGAGTGAGAAAAGCAAGGTCTGCTGTGCCATGTGGGTAGCTCCCTGGCTGGGGATTGAACTCGTGTTGCAGTGGCTACCAATAGCTTGATAGTGCTGAGACTTAAACCCTTGCGCCATCAGGGCAGCCCCTGGCATAAAAAAATTCTAGCTTAAAACTCAAACATGATGGGATAGGTTCAGTCTGGAAGAGCATACCTAAAATGCAGAAATGAAGTACTAGGGAAACTCAAGTTACTTGGAGGATAATAATTCTTGCCTGCCCTTCTGAAAGTTCAGCCCCACTCTTACCTTATGTGTTGTACCCTATAGTAAGTTTATAATCAGGCTGGGCAACCTCTGCATCTACCTCACCTTCTTTGGAAATTGAGTACAAGGGCTGTGATGGGCATGGAAACAGCAGAAAAGGGGAAAGTACAGAAAGGTAGAGGGAATATCTGGATGATGACTCATTAATGTTTATTATATAGTTCTCTCACTATCTGAAAGTAGAACGTTCCTATTCAGTATGATTTGGTAGATTATTAGGTGGGTCTAGGTATACACAAAAAAATTTCCATGTAAGTGAATGGTTATAACATTTCCAGATCCCAAAAATAACCTTCCAAATCAAACCAAATAGGAACAATCTATCTTTGGAGAGTGGGGAAACCTGTCTATTATTTCCTGTCCTCTGCAAACTTTATGTTTTTTTAGAATAACAATGAACTGTACAGAAAAGGTAAATGTGAAGCCATAGGAGTGAAAGTGTCATTGAAAGTGGAGCATCCAGAAAGATGGAATTCTACAAAATGCTGTGACTTTTAATACAGAAGAAGGAACGTGCCAGAGGCTGTTTCCAAGGAAAGAGAAGAAAGTTGGGTGAAAGAAAAACACTAGCTTTGTCGAGCTACCCAAGGTACCATTGCAGCCTAACTTCCGTGGTACTTAAATACCCCATATAAGATTTCCTGCAGGAATATTTCATCATGAATTTGATGCCTGTGTCAGTTTCCTAGACATCCACACACTGGATGACTTCACAACAGAAATGTATCCTTTCACAGTTCTGAAGGCCAGGAACACAAAATCAAGATGTTGATCTAAAATAAAATTCCTTACCTCTTCTAGCTTCTAGTGGGTATCGGCAATCCTTGCCATTCCTCAGTGTATAGACATGTGACTCCAATCCTGCCTCTGTCTTCACATCGTCATCTTCTCTGAGAGTGTCTCTGAATGTCCCTCTCCTTAGGGTTCTAGTCATTGGATTAAGGCCCATCCTAATTCAGTATCACTTCATTTTAGCTTGATACATCTGCAAAGACCCTACTTTCAGGTAAGATCACATTCACAGATTCTGGATGGACATGAATTTGGTGGTGGTTGGGAGGGGGGCACAATATATAATCCAGTAGAGTTGCTATCAAAACAGCTTTGATTGCTTTGGTGAATTGTCGTTTACACTAGTTTCCTACTGTGATTAGCTGATCCAGATTTGAAAGCATCAGAAATACACAAAACAAGTGAGGGAAAGAATAGAATCTAGCTCACCATGTTTGTTATTGTGTTTATATGATACCTAAAGTTGAATCACAGGGTTTTTTTTTTTTTTTTTTTTTTAATTTTTTTTTTTTTATAGAGGCATGCTTTATTTATTTTGTTTTGCTGGTTTGTTTTGTTTGTTTTGTTTATACATGCACTGGGTACAGTCAGAAGCGCGGGAGGGCGAGAGAATTCACCAGAGCCAGAGCGGGGAGCAGAGCAGGCAGAAGGACCGAAGTACACTGCTGAGGGGAGCAGCGGGCGGCAGGAGAGGTCTGCGCGCCATGTGGGACCCTCCTCTGGTGGCCGGGGAGCAGCCGGGGATCGAACCGGCGCCGCAGAGGCCGCGCGCAGCTTCGCAACCCAGCGCTCAACCGCTGCGCCACCGGGGAGGCCCTGAATCACAGGGTTTGCTCTAGACTATACTAGAGTGTTTTCTGAGGGTGCTCACTTCCATGTGCACTTCCACAGGGGGTCTCTAAAGGTTACAAAAGCAGAATGGGGGAAGTGCAAAAGGAGAAA